AATATATAGAGAGAGAGAGAGTTCCATTGCCCAAGCAGTAGGGTTTGTACCGGTAGAACGAATACGTTCCAGGATAGGCAAATGGGAAGGTAGAATCGCCCTATTGAGTGGGTTTGTTAAATGAATAAAGAGTGTTTTCGTATAAGTGGTAGGGGTGTGAGTACCTTTTCCGAGCCCGAGAAGAAGGCGTTGCCAAGCGAGAACTGCCCGGATAGCAGGTAGGTACGGAGGTATGTGACACCGCCGTACACCAGGGGCTGAATCGATGCTGGGATGTCCTTGGCCCATCGCAGTTTGCACGACGAATCGCTGCTGAGAGCCACACATATGGTGGGTGAGACGGGTGATATCGAGAATTCATCCATGGCGCATTGGGTGAATGCATACGTGGTGGGCACGCTCCACACATCGATGAGCGTGTTGATGGCCAGTGCGGTGCTGAACATGCGGTCCTCCCCTCGCTCCACACCGTTGTAGTCACCAAGAAAGTCATCCCTGAAAGAGATGATGTGTGCTGTGAGTGGACAGGTAAGTGGGTGACAGTGAAGAGCTGGTACCACGCACCAGTAGTTGCCAATTGCGTCGTGGCGGGCAGAGGCGAGAAGTTGCTGGGTGCCCGCATCCTTCAGGGCGGCGGTGAGCCTGTCCCTTGTCCTGGCCATCGCCGAAATGGCGTCCTGTGTGCAGGCAAGGCGGTCACACTCAATTAATTGAACCAGCAAAGAAGGTGGTGGAATCGTGATCATGTACTGTCGCGCTTCCTTTGGCGTTGAGGTATCGAGCAGTCCTGGCCGCCATCCACAGGAAATCATAGAGCGAGGGATAGTAGAGGAGAGCAATGTCTGGCCGTGCGGTCGCAGCGCCAGTCTCAATTGCCCAGCTGTGTCACAGAAATGTGACCAATGTTGTCAGTGATGAGGTTGCTTTGAAATGAAGAGAAAGCGGGATGGCAGCTCCCTGGTTCTGACCTGACGAGCTGAGCCGTGTTTTCGTAGACCTGCTGGAAATTGGCGTTTTGGACGAAGTACGTGCGGGCGCTGCCGCCATTGAGGCCCTCCAAGACGGCCTGCGAGGTGCCGAAGAGGAAGTTGGACGCTACAGTCATGTCGACGTTGTTGACGTGGTAGGGCATGCCCACGATACCCGCCGTCTTGTTGTCCTCGGGGAGATCCTGCCAAGCCCCAAGACACGAACACACGCAATGAACGTTGGGGTCGGGAGAAGAGCGGTAGGGGGAGGTCGGGGCTATAATGTACCATGAGCCACGTCATGCCAAGAGCAAGCGAGGGAGTGGACAACTGGGCGAGGAAAGGGTGGATGAAGAAGTAGGAACGAGTGTCCAGCAGGTCGGTGTAGCGCGTGTTATTGACCTCAAACGGACGGTAGGCGTACTGAATGTAACACACACACACACACCGAGAGAAGTTGAGTGTGGTTAGGTTTGCAGGGAGAGAATGTAGCAACTGGTTCTGGTGCCCTTACCTTGTTGATGAGCTCGAAGAGGGCGGTGATATTGGTGTTGGCCGATTCCCACTTCTTGTAGGCCTGTGGGAACTTATCACGCTGCTGGGAGAGCAAGCCTCCCAGGGCCTGTTCACAAAAAAAAAGAGCCGGCACCACACATTAGCTTCAGAAAGCTATGCGGGGTCAAGGTGGAGTGCAGTCAGCAGTACCAGGTTGACCGAGGAGTCATCCAAATCAGCTGGGATGCGGAACACTGTGGCAAAGTCCTCAAAAGCTTCCGCAATGGCATCCACTCTGGGTACATGCCACAGAGCGGTTTGAGTTAGAATGGTGTGGCGCCTCTGCAAGAAAGAGGGAGCAGGACAGGACTGGAGGTAGTACTGGCCGGAGAAGGCATCAAGACCAAGCTCCTTGAAGATGGCACCGATGTATTCACCGAACGAGCCTGCAAACAGTGTGCAGCGGTGGTATAGATGAGTAGGTTGTGGGTTGTGGACTAGTGTGGTACGCGACAGATCACCGGTGGATTCAACCGGTTGTTCCTGTTGTACCAAAGTAGTCAAAGGGCTCGACGAGGTTGACCGGAGTGGCGGACCAGGTGCCGTTCACAAGAGCCTGGGGCCAAAACGAATACGCTGGCACACCTGCGCGCGCCATCATACATACATCGCGCGCCACATCACACCACGACACGAGCGGACCAGTGGGTTGTAAGTCACAGAGCTTTGTCAACAGGAGGAGAGAGCATGGTGCCGGGTACCCTGCGGCCGATTCTTGTCCTTGAAGGAAAGAATGGCATCGAGCGCCATGGCAAACGACTCATCGGTGGGTGACACCTCGATGGCATCCAACGATGCAGCCTGAGCGCGAGCGATCGTGGGTTGGTGAGTTGGGTGGTTTGGTACGCACCCAAAGTGGCAGGTACGCATAGCAACATGGGTTGGCAGCATGTACCTCGATAATGGCCGAGAGGACAAAGCTGGTCACGAACATGTTGGAGTCCGGGATGGCAAAGAAGCGCCGCAAAAGGGTGTTCGCCTCGTCATCCCACCACCCTGCGCGGGCACTCCTTTCTTGAGTGCTGGTTCAAAAAGTAATAAAGTGCTACACGCAAAAAAGAAGCTCGTGCGCCACGAAATGAAATAAGATAGCGGAGAGGAGGGGGGCAACCTTGACCGACGAAGTCGAGGTGGATGGACGACCGATAGAGGCCACGGTCTTCGCGCCATTGCATGGGAAAAGGCCGGAAGGGCTGGGAGTGCTGGACCTGCTCCTTTTGCATGGCGGCGTATACTTTGCCGATCATTGCGTCCTGCTGCGTTGGCCCAGGCTTGGCAGCACCAGCCGCCTGGGACTCGTGCACTGTAAGCACCAGCAATGAAACTACAAAAATGAACAAGATGCGCTTCGTCTTCGTCATCTTTTTTTGTTACTGCCGGAGCCGGCGTGCCGGTTGTTTGAGGGGCAAATACTGGAAAAAACTGCAGAGAAAAAGGAGAGTGCCTCGCGTGAGGATCGAACTCACGACCTTCAGATTATGAGACTGACGCTCTACCGACTGAGCTAGCAAGGCTGTTGATGTAATGGCTGTGTCGGTCAGCAAATGGATCTCGACTCGACCTTGCCAGACTTTGACTCTGCCCAACAACTGTCATGCATGCCCAGGCTCTTGCAAAAGTGGCTGGCATCCACAACAAGCTGGTTAGCCCTGGATCTGTGTAGCTCTGGTGGGCACAGTGCCATGAAGCTGCTCTTAAGGTTGCGGCTGCCGAGTCGTGGAGTCTCAAGCCAGTTTTCCTTGACTTCTTCTCCTATTTCCAACTTGTCGACAGTAGTCTGTCCCGCACTGGCGAAGAAACAACAAACACACTACACCGGCACAGCCGCACAACATAGACATGTCCGAACACCATCACCACCATGGACACCACCACGACGACAAGAAGCGACCGCGCGAGGAGGCACACAAGGCCGCAGGAGAGGTGAGTGGCCATAAGTCCGAGCAGCACGACGGCGCCGCTGCCAAGAAGACCAGGACGGCAGAGGTGTCGTCCGCGGTTGAAGGGTCGAAGTGGGCGCAGCTCACGGGCAGCACCACTGTGGGCGACCTCGTCCACCACCGCATCACCACCAGGCCGCGGCCCACCAAGCCCGAAGAAGCGCGCGACCAGCATCTGGTGGCGATCGAGGGCGACTTCACGGTAGGGGCGGCCATGGGCCTTCTGGCACGGCACGACCTCCTGTCGGCCCCCGTCATCGACCCGCGTTCGCGGCGCTTCCTCGGATTCGTGGATGTGCTCGACATTACAGGCTACATCCTGGCCTCCTACAGCGCCCACTCGGATGACACCAACTTCCTCAAGAAGGAGCTCCTCAACGAAGAGGTCTCCCACATCCTCAGTACGTCTAGCCATCCATAGATTCAATCACTTGTGTAGACTGCAGATCTAATCGTTCCTCGATAACCGCAGATTTCTCGCGATGCGACGATAGAGTGGTGATTGAAGAGAGCAAGACGTTGAAGGACCTCATCCACCTCTTCTGCGCGCCTCGCTTCAAGCACCGCCTCCACCGTGTCGCCGTCACCGCCTCGCCAACAAGCCCGGTGCGTTGGCTGTCCCCCCTCGCACGGCACATCGTTGCTGACGTCAGCCTCTTCTTTCCTGTCGACCAGGACGAAGCTCCGTCGGTCACGAACGTGGCCAGTTTGTCGGATGTCGTCGCGTTGGCCGTGTCCCAGCCCGACCTGCTCCCGCCCGAGAAGGCCAAGGCGACGGTCGGGGCGCTGAAGCTGGTCAAGCCCATCATCGGTGTGCGCATGGACAGCGCGGTGGTTGACGCGCTCGACATCCTCTTCCACAACAAGGTCAGCGGCATCGCCCTCATCGACCACAGCGGCCGCGTCACCGGCAACCTCTCCGCCAGCGATCTCCGAGTACACACACCGCAATTAACGTCGACACACACACACACACACACAACGCGACACACTACACACACACGACACACTCACGAGCCGGTCACGCAAATCTCACGACCTCCTCCGCAACAGGGCCTGAAGCCAGAGTCGTTCAAATACTTCGAGGGCTCCGTCCTGCAGTTCTTCGTGAAGGGGCTTCCACGCGTGGCGGTACGCATAGCGCGACACGACACGACACGCACGACACGTCAACACTCCACTTCACAGAGGCTTCAAACTCACGCGTGTGCGATCCGTACGGTAACAGACGGGACACGAGAGGGGACCCGGCAGGGCGCCGGTGACGTGCACGGCCGAGGCTACGCTACTGGAGTGCATGGAGCTGATGGTGAAGGAGCAGATTCACCGTGTCTACGTTGTCGACAACCTCGACTCCCTCCACATCTACGGCGTCGTCTCCATGAGCGACCTCATCCACCACCTCAAGTAAGAAAAACAAATAAGATAAAATAAAGGAAAAGGTTTGATGAATGCACTACAAAAATCTTTTTTCTGCACACGCAATAACGAAGAAGCATCAAAAGATGAAAAGGGCGGCCCACGCACTTTCGCTCGCAGCCGGCGTCTTGCTGCTCATACTGGTTGTGGTCGAAGGCCAGCTGCCACCCCGCCTGCCCGGCCGCATCGCTAAGGTGAGCCCCCTTCAGATTCACTTAAGATCTGCATCTTCTTGTATTGGGAGGCGCCTGCCATAGCTGTTGGCCAGTGACTGACGCCGGCACATGTGCGCGCGGCCAACCAAACAACTCAACCCAACGCGGTGCAGCGGTTAACTGAGCTCACCGACCCGGAGGCGCTCTGGCGCGACACGGAGCGCATCGCCATCGTGCGTCCGGCCGACACGCCGGGCAACGCCGCCGTGCGCGAGTACATCATCTCCCAGTTCACCTCTGGAGGGCTGGCCCAGCCGTGGAACGTGGAGATTGACGAGTTCAGGAGCGCCACGCCCTACGGTATGTTGTCCTGCGTGTTGTGCGTGTCGTGCGAGCCGTGCGTGTCGTGCACGTCGTGTGTGTGTGTCGTGTGTTAAGGGAGGTGGGTGACGCAGGGGAGAAGACGTTCCGTAACATCATCGTCACGTGGAACTGCGACGCGCCGGAGCGGGTGGTCCTGGCTGCCCACTACGACTCCAAATACTTCCCCGTACTCCTACGCCTATTCCTCCCCGCTTCCCACCCTCTCGGCTGCTGAGGTGGCGCCCCTCCGCATTGGCCGCACCAACCAACCAACGAGCTGCGCACCCAACC